ATCATCAGCTCGTCTAATCATTGCCTTGTTCAAACGGTCTTGGACAATATGCAGTGCTAACAGGCTGTTACATAATAGAGTAAATTCCCTCTAATTGTCCCTTGTAAATAAAAATGGACAATTTGGGAAGAGGAGATACGATTATTCGGCTCATATTTATATTTGTTGGCAATCGATAACTATAAAAACGACCCACAAGGCTCGAATAACCGATTCCTAAATTGTCTACCTTTGTGTACAAACCGAGGGTCGATCAAGGAGGATTTACTGTACAGGGGTTTGAGCAATACGACGATGATCATTCAGGTTAAATTGGACACGCCTACACTTCGTTGCCGGATATCGAGACGGTGGCTAGACGATCTACGCTCTCTACGTAACTGTTGAAAGGCACTTTGCGATAACTATCAGAATTATATCCCCGCCACTGGAGGAATCCCTCTTGGAAATCCCCCTGAATCTCCCCCTCGACGAGACTCGCACGAATACAAACAAATCAAAACACTGCAACATTTCCAATTTTTGATTCTTTTTTCTTTCATGATACTTTTGCCTTCGTGATCGCCTCGTTCTACCAATTAAAATAACACCAAATACGATATAAATGCGATTGTAATTACATACTTGTATAACAAGCGAAATTGTCCATTTTTGTGCACAAGTTGAGCATTAATTAAATGAGAATTTACTGTCAATTCTATGCACCGAAGCGGCGACTGTGAGGCACCGCTACAAATTTTTATTTCGCGTTCCAAAATAATGACGCTGCCAAATTTGTTTGCATTTAGAAAATTGAGACTCGATTACATGTAAAAATGTAATTTAAAATGTAACGAGTCATGTGGAACGAAAATGCTGCCAGTGAGAGAACTATTTTGGATTTGGAATTAAAATGGCTTCGAGTGCGAAAGGATTTACCCTTTGTGCGACTCTAAGACGTCACTAAAAATTGATGAACTATTTTTCAAAATCGTTCCAAAGAGCATCAGACTCTTATATTTTCTAGAAACTGTTAAAATTCTATTGTACTTGCCAATAGGCTCAATTTCATATGCATAAATCGCAATAAATTATATAAAACAAAAACACTGTAAATCAGAAATCGTGATTTGGATTTCGAATTCAAATAGCTTCGACTGCAAAGGGTTAATACTGAATCTAACCTGCCGGTGGAAACGACCGATTTCACATTTTTTCCAGAGTATTAGTTACTAAACCCCCTAACTCCGCGACGCGACGCTATATTTAATCGTCCGGAATATAACCAACGCGCATCTGGATTCAATCCCGCGAACTTATGCAACGAGTTGAACGAATATCGTCCGCTTTGTCATCCTGAGCGAATTCCACTCGCGTTCGACAGCGTCGCGAAAACAATTGGAAACAAATTCTGTGGAGTTCTAACAATCTTTTCATGCCGAGTTTCATTTAAAAAACCGGGGAATGCCATCGGACTTTAACATTAACGCGTATTGTTTAACAAGAATCGGAGTCAGAATTTATCAAGCGCTTTCGTCATTCTTATTATAGCGTGTGCTTGAATCGAGAAGTTTATTCAATCGAAATACAGGGTGTCCCAAAAATGTCTCGCAATCCGGAAATGGCGGGTTCCTCGGATCATTTGAAGCAACTTCTTCCTTTATAAAAATTTTCTCCGAGGCACCGTTAATGAGTTACTAACGAAAAACAGTGACCAATAAGAATCGAGTACGGCTTATGCGAGGCGGCCCAGCCAATCAGCGCACGAAGCCCAGTTCCGCTCGTTGGCTCGGTCGCCTCGCGCCAGCTGAGCTGGGATTCGACCGCCTTGACCGCTGGCGCCGTTGGCTCGGCTGCCTCGCGCTAGCTGAGCTCGCCTCTCATTGGTCACTGTTTGTCGTTAATAACTCGTTAACGGTGCCTCGGAGAAATTTTTTGTAAAGGAAAAAGTTGCTTCAAATGACCTCAGGAACCTCCCATTTCCGGATTGCGAGACATTTTCGGGACACCCTGTATATTGAAATATTCCTACATTTATTCCTATGAAATATTCTTTATAATTTCAATAACGTTGAAATAAAAATCTGGTACGTCAGACGGGTTGGTCTCGGATTAACGTTTCACCGTTTCGCGTTACGCTAAACGCGGCATGGATTCGCAAAACGGGACGAGCTCGTGCCGACTGATTGGCCTGATTGCCGACGGTCGTAGGTCAATAATCTGTTGACGCGAGACGCGACACCAACAGCGTCGTCGAATTGTCCAACACACCTAACAGAGTCCTGTACGCCTACCGCAAACGCGTGACCATAAATTGGCAGTCGACAGCCCGTTTCTTCGAACACGAATGCGAAATTGGATTTTGATATCGAGTTCAAACCGACCGGCCGGAACTACAACATTCCGTGGAATTTACTCTTTGCATTGTAATATCCTGTCAGACAGACTCGTTATGAAAATTTCGAATATAATCTATTAAATATGAATGTTGTTCACTTCTACGTATATGTACAACACATGTATAATAAATACAAGGTGTCGCAAAAATGTCTCGTAATCCGAAAATAAGGGTTCCTGAGATCATTCGAAGCAACTTTTTCCTTAGCGAAAACGCAATCCGCGGCTTCGTTTACGAGTTATTAACGAAAAACAACGACCAATGAGAGGCGAGCTCGACTGACGCGAGGCGCTCCAGCCAACGAGCGCACGAAGTCCAGTTCCGCTCATTGGCTCGACCGCCTAGTGCCAGCCGAGCTCGCATCTCATTGGCCAGTGTTTTTCGTTAATAACTCGTAAACAAAGCCGCGGATTACATTTTCGCTAAGGAAAAAGTTGCTTCAAATGACCTCAGGAATCACACCTTTCCGAATGTTAACATAATTATGGGACACCCCTTTTTATGTAGAAAGTTATTAACACTAGATATACGGAGCACAGAAAACAGCTGTTTTATATTAGTTTATAAAAGTAATAATAAGACATTTATTCTGATCTTTAACAAGTGTTATTGTAACATTTGCCGTAAGTAACATATAAATTGAATAAATAACTCATAAATGTATCTTTACGATACGAATAATCGTAAATGAAAAAATTAGTGAATCTGGTGTTAGTGACGAAGAATTGCTACTCAACGTAGCTACGAAAGAAAGAAATTCTGTTAAACCCTGTCGTTTGTAAAACAGTTAAATTCTGATCGGACGAGATCTCGATCTGGAAAAATCGCATTCGTCAATGTTTATTTCCTTTATATATCTTTGGATCGTTCGTGCGTTTCTAAATAAATTATCTGAATGCCCCGAACGATACACCTCACCCTTCCGATACAAGATTGACAAAACATGATCGATGCGCCGCGACGACCACCTTTTGTCGGACGTCTTTTTTGTTGCAGCCGACGTCGTCGTACGATAGATATAGCAAACGCGTGCGGTTTGCGCGAGTGTGAGCAGCGAGTGGAAGGGAGTGCGAAGCGTGCGAGCTGTCCCTCCCTTCCTCTCGCGCGTCAGTATAACAAAGTGGAGTGCTATACTGCACTTATTCTTCGGTTATAGCTATGTAATCCGGGATTAGCATCGAACGAACACGTTATCAAACGCAGTGCTTTAAATCTGATTCACGCTGGAACTTAGGCAAATCTTTTCGGACTATTCTATGATGCATCGTTCCGTCTGCGGATGATTTTCTCTTGACGCATAGCGTGCGGTTCATAGCAAGAATTGTTTAGTGCAAGAAATCAATGCATTTCTTCAATCGATTGTGAGAATACTTTTTCCTTTAATCTGATTTATGTCGGTTGTATGTTGAATTCTCGGTGCTATAAAAACTTCGAAACGAGTAAATATGCGAATAACAATATATTTGATCCCTGATCTTCCATCTTTCTGTCCGATACTTTATAGAAACATTAAACTTTACGTTAAAATCGAGCATTTACTCGAATTTGTTCGAAATGTAAATATTAATCAAGATATAATAATTAATACTATATAAATATAGTACCTTAATACTATATATATATATATATTAATACTATATTAGATAATTTAACCTTAATACTTTTATAGACAACACGTGAAGATCTATCAATGGATGAGAAAGAAAATACAATTTTATTGAAAGGATTTTTTAAATAACCTTGATCTTCTTTTTTTAGTAGGCAACAAGTTCTTTGTTAATCCTTTTACTGCAATTTGCTGTCGTATAATCAATGAGCAACTTTTGTTTGAACAATTTTATGCAAAAAAATTTCACTTTCAGAGGAAGTTATTTCTTTTCATTCTCCTATGTCCTACACGACCTTCTCGATTTTACACGCGTTAGCGGTGAACTGATAAAGAAATTCTTCAAACAGAAGTTGCTCGGTAATTCTACGATTACAAATTGCAACAATAACATTGATAAGAAATATTTTATTTAATAGAGAACTGAAGATTATTTAACAGAAAACTGAAGATTACTCAACAGAAAATCTTAAGATTATTCAACAGAAAATCTTAAGATTATACAACAGAAAATCTTAAGATTATTCAACAAAAAATCTTAAGATTATTCAACAGAAGATCTTAAGATTATTCAACAGAAAATCTTAAGATTACTCAACAGAAAATCTTAAGATTACTCAACAGAAAATCTTAAGATTATTCAACAGAAAATCTTAAGATTACTCAACAGAAAATCTTAAGATTATACAACAGAAAATCGTAAGATTATTCAACAGAAAATCTTAAGATTACTCAACAGAAAATCTTAAGATTATACAACAGAAAATCTTAAGATTATTCAACAGAAAATCTGAAGATTATACAACAGAAAATCTTAAGATTATACAACAGAAAATCTGAAGATTATTCAACAGAAAATCTTAAGATTATTCAACAGAAAACAAAATTATTTAAACTGTTTTCAATAAAATTGTTCGTACGCATGTCATAGATAAAAAACATTAAGATGTAATTGGAACGAGTAATCCAGATAGTACTGGAAAGAAAATAAGAAAATACTCGAGGAGGAACACTCACCGATACCCTTTTGCCAAAGCCAAGGAAGGACAGCTTTCTCCTGGTGTTCTCCATCGTTCACCAGTCGCGGTAGCTGCCGGGAACAGCTATCGGTTTAAGGTGTCGTCTTTTTCCTGGGTGCTCGGCCGATTCTGAGACGGGACGGCGATGTCCACATGTGGAGGAGTCGCTGAGATGGCAGCTCCGTTCTGCTAGCTGCAACAATCAACGACGATCGGTTGTTACGCGTTTAGTTTCTTTTTGCTGCTTCCGATCCTGGCTTCGAACGAGACCGCGGTCGCGGCTTATCATCTCACATACACGTTCATGTCAAGTTTTCTAAAGGCGTATCGCGACTTCCTGAGAACATCGCGCGGCGGCAATCTCGAGCATGTCATTTTCTACGAAGGAAGGATGAGCGCGAACGATAACTCGCGACACGCATGGGGAAACCTCGCGGTGATCGCGTTTGCGTCTAACTTCTCGCGAAGTATGTACACGTACGAATCGAACCTGTAAAATGCATTCTACTCGAGCCGACAGTTTCGTTTCGTAACGATAAGGCGGCCGGCGATATGGTTTATCGAGGAAAGAAACGAAAAATAGGAACAATGAACAGGTTTATCGAGAATACCGGCGCCAGATGCCAGGTGCGTGCTCGATGCTATTATTTAGGATGTCCCGTAAGTTCTTTCCTTTTTTCTTTTTTTTGATGCGAAATGATTACACGATATTTGTTGTTTAAGGTTGATTTATCGAGTTATATACGAACCGTTCTGCTCTATTACCTTCTTCCATCTTTCAGGAAGCCTCATTATGCCGTATTTCCAAGATCGTTGAGGCTTATTTGCAAAATATTGATCAAGGTGCGTTTTTATTTCGCTTACGAATTTAAACCGTTTTTCACGGGGAGAATGTTTTTAACGAGAAGAACACAGAATTTGTTACGAGAAGAAGTAATAATCGGATGGAGCAATGTCTGGGGAGTACGGAGGATGAGGTAGAACGTCCCAAGCAAACTGCAATAATTTTTGTTTTACGACCAACGCAACATGCGGTTTTGCGTTGTCGTGATGAAAATTTGACGGTGTGGAACTTCGAAGCGGTTCACATATCCCATCTTGATTAACCCCTTAATGCACAATTTAAAAAAAAAACCGACCAAAAAGAATCAATTTTTTTTATCTAAGAAAATACATATTTGGACCTTAATTTCAATAAATATTTAAAAAAAATGCAAAAATTACTAAAAATTCAATAAAAATAGTGGATAAATAATTATAGTGAATATTGAATCGCATTGCAGATCGAATTTTGTACCCATCGTACTGTTTTTCATATATTCGAATCTGAACATTTTAGCGACATAAGTTGCGACGCCGACCGTATATATACGGGTCTGCACATTTTGGCCGGTTTTGCACGCCCGTGTTAA